AGCATGATCAAACTGTGGGATGTCATGAAAAGACTAGTAATACAAAATAGACTGGTCAGTCCCTTCCCTGCCATGAAATCCGGCCATCAGAACAGAATTACTGGAATCTGACACTACATTATTTGCTATGTTTCTTAGCCCCGGATGATAAACTAACACAATCCTTGTAGAGGTTCCAGTAGGCATGTTGAGATCTTACACAGCATCTCTGGAGGTGTTCAAGTTCAGATTGAATGGGGTTTTGGGCAACCTGATCTAGCGGGAGGAATCTCTGCCTATGGCACTCTGATATTTGATGAGTAAACTGCAAAATGACATCAATCGCTTGGAGGGATTGGTGCAGAAAGGGCAAAGCAGTTGTTGGCAGAGAGAAGGAAGACAGATGCGATTTGTCATCAGTGCTACCTGATTCCTTCAATTAAGGCTCTGTACAGATGTTTTGCTAACCAAAATATTTCTCTCGTTTTCTTGACTGTAAGTAATACAAGCTAATTTTGGATGCAAAGGAAGAAGGGGAGTAGCAGGGAAGAAATGCAAAGTCAATATTGGTCAGTGTGATGAATGGTGAATACCTTGAATCATGTTCTTTGGTATTTATTAAAGTTTGGAAAAAGCTTTCAGTAACTTCTGCCTATTTCCAAAATAATGAAACATTGGACAAATGAAAGAGACGATGAACAAGAAATACAAATCACAAAAAAACTATCCTTTTTTTTCCTCCTTTTCAACTTCACTAGATTGTAGTTTATTGCTTAAACACTGGTGGAGCTGCAAAGTTTGGTTCTCTGTTTTCTTCTCAGACATAGATCCATTAACTTTATTTCTCCCTCCATCAACCACAAAGCAAGTGGCTTTTGGGAAGAGAGCACTGAAACTAATGGAGAAAAGGCATCTTAACTCCTGGTTTTATGCTTAGTCTTCTGGTCTGAATCATCTCTAAAGTAGGCTGAAGTTGGTCTTATACCCCTCCTGTAGTATATCTAATAAGAATAGTTGGTTTTTCATTGTTGATTTTGCTGAAGGTAGAAACTGCTGATGATGCCTATATGGTGTCTGGCAGCCAGCTCATCCACAATGGGATCAACTGCACTGAAGAAATAGCTGTGATGCCTTTGAAATTCCTGATGGCTGTGATTTCTTGTGAGATATGCTCCATGCCCGGAGAGCTGAGACTGTGTTATTGGCATTTGCACAAGTAAACAGACTGGGTCTGGTTGCTGGTGAGCCAGAGGTGGAGGTCTGGGTGCAGCAGAGGGTAAGAAATTGCTACCCACTGAAGCATAATGATACACCTATTGCAAGTGTGAGGTAGAACCTGTTGGTGTAAGATTCCAAGTGATTAACCTTTGAATTTTACCTTCTGTTTGCTATTGGTGCTCGTGGGTCGTTATTGTAGATTACCAGATAGATAATTAATTGTATATCACAACCTTTACATTTGTTCTCTTGATTTTCTGTATGCATGGGTTATCTCTTTCTAAGACAAATGAAACAAATACAAAATTGGCAAGTTTTCTGATTTCATAACTCATACTCAGATATCAGATCAGGCCACTTATTTTTCCTTGATGACTATTTTTGTTATTCAAGTAACATTCCCTGTGTCTAGGTTGAGTTGGAGTCGGACTTGCTACCCTGCTATGATCTGCTGGCTTCATCCCTTTGCTTCAGTTTTTCTCAGTTTGTAGAGGGAGGATTAAGTTTTTCAGATTAGTTACTGTTTTTGGAGTATTTTGAAGTTTTCCTTAAAAGCTGCTGTAGAAGTGTTGGGCATTGAGGCAATGAAATGTGCTCAGAATACCCATATCAGGGCTGAATAATCAGTGTGTAAATATATACTGCAGAGCAAACATTTCACAGCAACAAGACCTCTGCTCTAGCATTAGACATTGGCTTTATCACTCACCAAGGAGTAGGATCAGTGTTCCCCATTCCCATCACTCAGTACCGCATCATCTGGATATTGCACTGCTGAGTGTGCTTATGGAAAAGGATAGAGTGATTTAAACCTGCAGGATCTTCTCAAAACATATTTCAGGGCCATGTTACTGACAAGTCCATGCTATCTATTGTGAGTTAATCATCTCTTTAAAATTAGGTCACCTTGACACACGTCCTGAATCTTTCTGTTGATGTATGCCATTGTGAGAAGAAAAATATTGATGTTATTTTCTGAATAGAAGAGCAGGTGAGCATAAGCAGGGAAGGAAGGCTAACTTACAGCAGAATGGGATCCCTACCAGTGGTGTTTTGTGACACAGTCTGTAAATCTCCACAAGGAGCCAGTCTGTGGGAGGAGGCTGTTAATGTGCATGAAACCACACGCAGAGAGAATTTAGCAGGAGAGGAGGCACAGGCTGCTCTGTGTGGAACCAGCCTGGGAAGGCTGGAGACCCAGTTGCACCAACAGAAAAGCTGTTTGCATTCCAGGGGGCTTTGTATAGGGGCATTTAACAGCAACTATCTCAGAATTCAGAACTGGAGCACGTCTTACACAATTGCTTTTGAAGGATAGAATAAAAATTAAGTGTATTGGAAAGCGTGCTGATCTACAGGCTGTAGGGTACAGTGCAGCTCTGACAGCTCAGGATGTCTCTTACTTTAGCGCCTTGCTGTGCTGAGTATAGGGCTTCCAGGCTGGAAAGAAGCTGCAGATGGCATGCTTGCTGCTATGTACTCCTGAACATTTTGTTAGGTATGACTCACTCTTTTATTGGCAATTTCTCTTGGACCTTCTTATTTCTTATTTGCATATGCAGCGACTACCAAAGGCCATCACAGCTAATGGTGTTTACCGTTCACAAGTGAGAATTGTGACCTATATATAATGACCAAAGTATTGTGTAAATGTCACTGTGCTAGCACTATTATGCTGCAACCTGTGTTATTTTGATACCTGTGTGTGTTCTCTGGCTCTTCTGATTCTTGCCATGACCTTGGTGGCCTTATGTGTCATCTTTACAATGACTAAACGTGATAAACATGTAAAATCTCTTACTCCTTTGGAATTTGTTCACATAGGAGGAATTGGGACAAATTGTAACCGTTGGGTAAATCTGCTTCTAAACAGAATATCTGTGTTCACTGTAACTAACCTCCCTTTCCCTGCATCTCCATGAATGGCCTTGAGTTTCACATGCAGATGCAGAGATCTAGGCAAGCACCTTCATGCTCTAACAGCTGAAAAAGATGTGGAGTTACAGTTCATCTGAAATTAAGAAGCTTATCAAGTATTAGCTTGCACTAAAACCATTTGCAACACACGTATTTTTGAATTTTGGAAAAGAAATATTATTTAGCTCAGTAAATATTATTAAGAAAGGTTAAGAAAAATGTAAGTGAAGTATAGTACATTTTTTGAGCAAGGTTTTTAGTATGGACAACTTGTGCTACCTTAAATAACAGTAACAAAGTCGCTTCTAGAGATGAAACCTATTCATATGGTACTGTATTCTGGGACAGGTCTTCTAACAGTCACCTCTGGGGGCTGTATTATTATAGTTACTGTTATTTATCAAGAAACAATTCTTGTAGAGTGACAGTGATCCAAACTTGGACTGGTGACAGGGCCCTTTGCCCATCCTGCACCCACAGCCAGCTGCCTGGGTGGACCACATTCAGTGCAGTGCTGTAACCACGGGGAGGTATGTATGCCCAGAGGCTCCATCCCACGGTGGGCAGGGAGAAAGCCTGGGAATTTGGAGGCACACTGCAATCATGCAAGGTTTGTTCCACTGAAAAAGTTATTGCATAATCAGGAAGAAAATTAATCATCCTCTCAAGGGTGCTCAGCTCAAGGGTTTCTGCACAATATAGCCACGACTGGAGGAGGAGAGTGGCTGCTGCAAAGGGCAAGCAAAAGAAACAAGCTTTGGAGAAGTCATGCTGTTAATCTTGTGTGGCAAATGAGAATTTGAAGAGATGAAGCTGCTGGGTAGAAGGTTTTGAAATTTGGGGTGTTATTGGGAAGAGGGAAAAGAGAGCAAACGGAGGAGAAGCAGCTGCGGGGTCTCTGATGAAAATATTGAATGATTCACAAGATGTACAATAGCTCTGCTCTGCCTAGTGCCTTTGTGCCACCAAGACTTGCCTCACAGTAACAGTTCTTTGAACCGTCGTTCGAATCGGACAATACTGTCAAGAGAGTGCCCTCTGTTGTACGTAATGACTAAATGCACTCCTTCAGAGCTGACAGTTTGGGCTGGCAGGGTGGATGCTGTCTGCTAGAATCTCAACCTCAACCAGCTTTGTTCTCCATTTTTATGAATACATCTCTATTTTATAAATATATTGAAATTACACCAAGAGGAGCAAATAGAGAACCAGCTATGTATTATCTTTGTAATTATTTCAAAAAGCACAATGAGCTGAAGAAACTTAATATAATTATGTGGGAACTTTCGTATTTAGAGTGGTGGTTTCTGTGTAATAAAATGATGCTCACAGAGGGCTGTTCCTCTTTTCAAAAACAGTTCAATCCGTTATGGAACGTGGAGTTTAGAATACCAAAGAAAGCAAAAGAAAAGCTAACATAGGGACATAGGGATGCTGCTTGAAGATGTTTGTGACCCTTTTGGTTCCCACTTCTGAGGAGGCTATTTTGCAGAAATCCAACATCTCTTTACAGCCTGAAGCCAGTGAGGGGTTGAGGTAGCATCACTGTGTTCACCATGCTTCAAGTTAGAAAGTTCCTTCAGAATTGGAGAGGAGAGAAAATTACTTCTATATGGCAGCTTGGAAAGGGCGTAACTGTAGTAACAGCTGTAGTAATTCTTCTTGCTGTCACCATTAGGATACCAAAAGTTTCATGGAAAATGCCTAGAAATATTTCTTACCTGACATGTTCAGATGTTTTGCTGAGTATTGTTTTAGCAGTTACAGAAAGTAAGATACCTACCATTACTTGCTGGAAAGTTGTTTCATGCCCTGATATGTCCTGCTCTTCAGTAATCATTGTTTCCCTTCCTATTGATTTCTCCTTAGATACAGGAACTAGCACCTGGACCTTGCTGTATCTGACACCATCTGTCTCTAAGGATGCATCCTAAAGCTCACTACCTTGTTTTCCAGCCTCAGACATGCTTACTTCACATCCATACAATGGATGTTCAGAGCTAAGCCTGTCCAGTCACAAGGCTGCCTGGTTCCAAGAGCATCATACCTACTGCAGCATGTGCTGAGCTCTACTTCACCCATCCAATCGGTGGTGAGAAACAGGAAAGAAACATCAGGTAATTCCTAGGACTTCTGAACTATTGTTTCATAGAAGGCACTATTTTCTGCCATTGCTGACTACTAGGTTGGTTTTTTAGCACTGAGGGGCTCTACAGATCAAGGTGAAGTGTTCATGGCCTTGGCAGACCAGGCCTGAAGGGAAGTCTGATACAACACTGAGGATGATAAGGTATGGGGATGCTGAAGGGAAATTTGGCAGTGAAAAATGCAGAGTCTGAATATCCTTATGTTCTGTGTAGAAACAAATACTATTGGCATCACAGCTCTGTAAGAGGAGGCATCAGTAAAATACATAGCCGTTTTATTTTCCCTAGTTTAAAATGTTTGCATGGATCTGGGAGGGGCACAGCTGCTTTGGGGCTCTCCAATACTAGAGACACAAGGCTCGTGGAATGGTTTATTTATCTGGTGAAACAGTGCACAAGGATTGTTGGTGACTTTAATTTTTCTCCTGTAAAATAAACATCTTTAGTAAAGAAGTCCCAGTCCAGGATTGGGAAATGTTAAGAAACGCAGCTAAGCTGAGTTTTATAATAAAATGGCACAAAAGCAAATCGCGAAGAACAGGTGGAAGATAACATCTGCAAAAGAAAAAAAAAAAGACTAAATGTGAGTACTCACCATCAGCTGCCTTTCATGTTTTTTTCCCACCCTTACCAAAATACTACATGCCTTTATGTGGCTCTGTCACTGTACCAGGTTTTGGCAAACAAGCTTTGAAAAGGCTGTCAGACAAGCTCCAAATAGAATTGCTTTCCAAGCATCTCTGTTAACCCAGCAAAGCATGTTTGTTCCTTTTTGGGAAGAGTGCGTGGAAAGAAGAGAAATTACTGTTCAGTATCGAAAGTTACTGATACAATTTCATTGTCTAGGTTGAAGGAAGTGCCTACAGGAGGAAAGCAAAGAGAGGTAAGATTTGATCTTCAAATGTTTCCTTCTGTCAAAATTATAAAATTTACCAAATCTTTCTTTGAGCTATGGAGTTTACTTTGACAGAGCCACTCAGGATGCATATTTGGGATTGATATAATCATTGTTTTATTTTGCTGCTTACCTGAGAGCATGTAAAATCTGGATAAACCTTTGTCTGTAAAGTAAAATAAGAGAAAAAGATAACATTTGAATGGCATGTTTTAAATAGGGCGAAGTGCACTAACGTGCTCTATGAAAGCAGATAATTTGGCCACATTTGGAAATTCTGGGTATTTTTTCCTCTTGGTTTTACTCTCCGAAGTTGTAAAAGAATCCTCTCAGTTCTTTAATTTTATAAAATTAGTGGTGTTTGAAGTGGTGCAACCTTCCGGTTGTCAATAATGTCGCTCCATATGTATCTGTAATTTATGTTGGCTAACAGGATGGTGTGGATGTGGTTGTGAAACCAGTATGAAAGGCTTTAGTGAAAGCATGATTTAGGCACAGCTTGTTCCGAGGACTTGTATCCAAAGCTGATTCTGCGGGATCTGCAGAACCAAACTAGATCAGGGAGAAATTCCTGCTGCCAGGGGGCAGCAGCTGGAAGTAAATTATTTTGCTTTGTAATGGGAAGGATTGATGGCTGTTCACATCAGGAGTGACAGGCACGTAGGGTTGACCTGCTGGATTTCTGGTTACTGTGAAGAACCCACTGTAAGTGCAAAGAAAGCCTCAGTGCTGCTTTCCTGTTGCTACTAAGCCTGGCTTCTCTCCCACTCACATGCATCCCATCAGAGATTGTCTGGGCTGTTGCTGAGGTCAAATTTGGGTGATCAGGATTTACATTGCTAACTTCCTGTGGAAATGGTTTGGTCACTTATCATTAATACCAGATGGGTGCATCTACTCACTTTGAAAATGAAGAGAGTTTCACTGAGTGTATGGGAGCTGCTGAATCACGGCCTGAACCTCTGCTTGATCACCTGAGGCGAGCAAGGAGTCAGTCATGGGAGCACAGGTGAATTGTCTTCACCTGTGCTGCTGGAAGGGATGGAGCCTGGTTCCACCTCTCCTAGACCTATTTAAGAGCTGACTCTTAAAGGATCTCTTCTGGAAATCCCTCCTCTGGAGTTTTGCAGCAAGCTCAGGACGCGGGTAAGCATTCTATCTATTCTCATTTTGTTATTGTAACCCGTTTAACCAAACTGTCTGGTTTATTTCATAATTATAACATCTCTATATTCTTTATACAACTGAGCCAATCTGTCACAACCCCCAACATAGAGGTTCGCTGCTCCCCAAAGGGAGCACCACCCCAGGAACCCGGCCACTTACTGCGCACAGAGATCTCCGCCACTAAAACACCTCCGGTTTGTTCCATGCGCTGCTTTCGTTTGTCGCATGTCTAAGGGATCAAAGAGAAAGCCATGTATACCCCACAAAATTAATATACCTATGTGCACATCCAAATCCAATTCTCACGTTTTCGATCAAGTAAATGAAGTCTGTATCAATTTTGCTGGGTGTTTTCTAGGGACCATTTTTTATTTTTCTGTAGTCACTGGGGTTTTTTGGTGCTCAAGGAGAACTTTTGCTGTGTATTGGATGAGGATTTTGGTGTGTATAGTGGCTGCCAGTGGGCTGCTCTTCCCATGCAGTTTCAAACAAGCCTCCTGTCAAGGAGAGGAAAGGGGTAGCTGAGCTCCATCTATTTAACCTATGACCTCTGTGAAGACTTCTGTTGTTGTTTATTGTAATTGTAATTATTCTTCATTGAATATGAAGAGGAAGTACCAAATCCCTTCCATTCAGATCATCATCTATCCAGATCTAACATCTCTTGTTACAGCTGACAAGGTCTTTATCGGAGTACTGTGTGATGTTTTCTTTTCACCCTGATATGCGACTGGATAAGAAGTTTAAAAAAGCCTTTTTTAAAGGACAAAATCTAATCCTGTATTTTTTTTTCTTTTGCCTTTGAAACTTGAAATTTCTAATAATGTATTTTTATCAGACCTGTGGCTTCTGCACAAGCCAGTGTCCCCCGTTTAGTGCTGGTACTGGGTAATAGGCCGCTATCTTATAGTGGCACCAGTAGTGAGGAGGGGTTTAGAAAGAAGAATTGTTATGAACAATTGAACAATTATGAACAAGTATGTTTTCTCTTCTTCAGCAAAAAAATCTTTGTTGCTGATACAGCTGTCTGAGTATTTGGGGCTTTCATTTCAGATGAAATAAAATTCAACTTCACTTTATGGCAATGACATAATCATGGGCTAAGAGAAGGAATAATGAAGCCCTGACTTCCTGAAGGAGGTAGAAAAGTCTTTAAAGAAAGATAGCCTAGTAACCCTTGCATCAGTTGGTGTGATTGGTACATGATCCTAATGCAAAATAGCATGCCTGCATAGCATCTTCCCTCTCATTCTCACCTAAGGCTGCAGAAACCTGCTCTATGATCCCAGTGTTCCTGCTCCAATGACCGCTTATGTATTTCCTGCAGAGGAAGACAGCTCCAATAACAGTAACTTGCTGTGGGGTAGCAGAGATGAACTTTCTCTAGGAAGAAGGTCTGGGAGGTTTTATTTGAGCAGAGGCAAGCTCTGAACTAGGTTGCCCTCAGCATTGAAATATATGGTGCAGTGGCAAGTGTTCTACTTTCTCATATTTTTTTAGGCTTTTGTTTAGCTATAGCTGTCTGCCAAACAGGAGCAGTGGTCTGCAATGTTGACAAAAACTGAGGTTTTAAAATGACTGCATTATTTCTCAATACCTCCAAACAAATTGCTCAATGCTGCACGCAGTGCCCGTGGCATGATAGGGATCAGGGTGCACAGCCCACCACTCGGGTTAATGCATAGTGATGGCTCTATCTAATGCCTGCTCCTCACCTGGCGTGCCCCCGGATCACCCTCTGTCTGAAATTAGCTCTGTGTGTTTCCCTTGGCGGGAAGCCTTACCACCGGGCAGGAGAACTTCTCGCTGTCGCACACGTGCGTCTCGCAGTGCAGCCAGACCTTGGACAGCTTGGGGATGTTTTGGAAGCGGAAAGCGTTAAACTGAAACGTCGCACGGTTTGTTTTCCCATTCTCGTGGACGATAATGGAGAAGTCCGAGGCACACCTGTATTGTATGTGGAGAAATGTCAGATCTTGACTTGTGAATTGTGTCCTCAGGTCACGGTCTGGTGAAGGCATTTCCCCAGCTTTGGGCCACTTCCTACTTTTGTGTGCTTGGGAAACAGTAGGGCAGCTCCCCAGGCCCACCAGCACCTACCCCTTGGTGATCAGAGGCCAGTGCACCTGGTAGAAGTACTCTGAGGAGGGTGTTGCCCAGCAGTTGTTGAGAACAACTTTGAACCTGGGGAGGCAAAAGCATCAAATCAGCGCACAGCATCCCGATTACCAATTTATTGTCATCCCTTTCTTCACATACCTGTCACTTAAGCCCTTAGCTTCCACGCCAGCAAATATGTCAGAACCAATTTCTGATGTTTCAACGACAAAAGGGGCTTCTTTTATACTTGAAAACTTGGCATTCTTTGGGGGGGAAAAAAAAAAAAGAGAGAGAAAAAAGCATCATACATTACAAGCACCATGCAAAACAGAGGCATATGGCAACTTCAGACAGGTCTAGAGAGGTGGGCTCCAGAAGCCTGGATATTTACCACCTGCGAGCTCCAAAATCTGTGTTTAGTAGTAGGACTATTGCAATTTTGGTGATGTCTGGCTTGTAATAGCAATAAGTGGCAGAATTTGCTGCTGATTGGGATGTGCAGAATGAGAGCATGTGTGGGAAGTGGGCCTTAGGCTGCTGCCCTTGTGAACTGCTGGGAGAAGTGGGTAGGAGTGGGGCACTGAAGATGACTGTATGGAGTGGGAATGGGGCTGGTCACATTGAGGGTGTGTAAATGAAGTAGCTGTGCTTTTTCTATCTGCTTTGGTGCTTTAGAGTGTGCTTAGATGGGAAAAGATCAGGAGCAGCATGAAGTAGCTGTGGGGAGGAGAGGAATGCTACAAAAGATCAGCCTGATATCCAGGGACAGAAGCTGGAAGCAAAATTCCAGCAGGATCTCTGGGGAACATGAAATGTCTGCCAGATGAGAGGACAAGGAAGCAGGCTGCAAGGGACATGCAGAGCTTTTCTAGTCTTACAGAGACAATGTCATAGTGGCTGTGTCTGTAGGTGCATGCTACTGCTCTTTGAGTGAGGCTACCAACAAGTTTTGCTTTTTTCTTTATAAAACTTGTCAGCATGTTAGAAATGTACCAGTCAGCAGAAAAAAGCTGCCACACATGGAGGAATTGGACGAACAGTTGGCCTGTGTCTTCTCTGTTCAGTTTAAGTCACATCCCTGTTAATCACTGGAAACAAGGACCTGTACAAACCACGCTGTAATGATCTGCTGTGGGCTGGTAATGTGCTCCGTGACATGCAGAAGTCAGGAGCAGCAGCCCTTTTTTCTTGCTGAAGTTTGTGGTAAGTGAAGGCAAAAAGCTGAGTGACAAAGAACACTTACAGAGTAGAAGTTGAGGGATAACTGACTTTCAAATGAGCCAGAGCTCCCATTCTTCACATGGACGGTGGCCACCCTAGGGATGTAAAAACCACATGGCTCTGTATGAGTGAAACCTGGGATTTATAAAGGAGTGAGCCTCACTGCCAGACCAAGGCTTACCTTTGGTCGAAGGCAGCCTGGTTCACCAAGTAGTTGGCATTGTACGTGCAGGTGAATGAGTAATTCACAGGCTGGCTCTTCACGATCACTGTGGAGTCATTGGAAACGATGGAGTTGTAGAAGTGATAAACAGGGTTCTTAAACTGTAGGTGGGAAAACAGAAACATGTATGCAACAGTGACCATTTGAGGCACCAGGCGACCTGGCATGTTGAAATATGAGGATTCAACTTTGTGACAAAACAGCATTCCTAAAGAAACATGGTTTTGTAGCTTTTCATACTCTGTGTATGTATACAAGTGGGTGACAGGCACACAGGCTAATAGCACTAAACCTGTGTGCATTTTGCCAGTAGATGCAGAGCGTGACTATTTAATTCCTTCTTCTTTTATATCTACAAAGAGACCCTACCCAAATTGCCCTCTCTTCATCAGTACTTAAAGCCCACTGGAACCAAAAGGACTCTTTCAAGTGAATCCAGCCAATTCCTGAACCCTGCTCAGGCTGAGCTTTGGTCAGAAACATTGGTCTGAAAGTCTTACCTCTGACTGCGTCCCACAGTATGATTTATTTTTAGGTGACAGGTCTGGAATTGTGAACTGGTAATATCCTGAATCATGGACCCCATTGTAACAAATGCCTCCAAGTGCCAGCTGATTGACCTCCCATCCATAAGGACACTCCGGAATTTTTGTAATGATGGTTCTAGGATAGCAGTATACCAGAATTACATCTGAAAGGAAAACAGTATGCCTAGAGTGACATTCAGGAGTGCCTTTCTTTCAAAAAAGACAAGTCTGCACATCTGCTTTCCACGGGGATTTAAATCCTGTGGGTTGGAACATCTGCTGGAACGTCTCCTAATGTTAGCAGCAGGGGAATGGGAACAGTGTGTGCTACGCAGAACTGACCTCAGGGTTGTTAAATTCAGTCCTCCCTGAATGAGTTTTGACCTTGCTTTCTAATAAACACAGAACTTCATGCACGTTTTTTTAGCTTTCTGGAGCAGCTGATTAAGGAACAAAGACACTGAGGTGAAGAACTGCTGCACTGAAATGTCATGTTGGATTACAGAGCTGCAGAGCTGGCAGCTGTTGGTGGAATGACACTGGCACTGTAAAGATAATATCAGCAAAGTTGTTTGTTAGGCTGCAATAGATTTGCATTTTTTTGTAGCAGTGTTTGATCTAGAGGGGCACACAAGTTTTACAATTTCCATGTTAGAAGGTAAGAACTGAGAAGCTTAGCCCTGTTAACAGTAATAGCTAATAGCACTGCAGTTTGTTTCCTTG